GGTGTAACCGACGGTCCCGAGATTACCGAACGTAACCGTCGCGAGATTAGCGGGACTACCACCCATAAGTAGAGGACTTCACTCCACGATCAGGTACGATGATTTCTGGCTTCGAACTAAACTTGGAATCCGACCTATACTGACTTGATCGTCGGAGTGCTCACCTTTTTGTGCAGGTCCGCCCAAGTGTTCAGGTCGGTCCGGAGGCCGAGTTCGAGCTACAATCAGGAACACACTGTTGTGCACATCTTTGCATAAACAGAGAGATATTTACATTACGTTTGATTGAAATAGCAGATGAATGTAATGGATATGTTGAATAGAAAGTACAAATTGTACCAGTTTTCCAAATTTAAAATTCAAGTTTATAAAGCATAGAAATTGATATACTATTCTAAGGGTTTGTTTGGAACGATCTTATAACGAGTGATTTTAGCAAAAGAGATGTAACGATAATTGATTTTGTGAAAGTGATTTTTATATAGTTATTTTAATATTTAGTTGCACATTTTTTTTCAATTGATTTTTATATAATTAAAAGTTATTTTAAATAATTAATGTTTGAAATTTAAAGAGAGAATGGGAACTAAAAATTTTGAGAGATATTACAAAAATTTTAGAGAAAAAAATGAGAGATAATAAACAAAATTAAGGGTAAATAAAATTAGAGAATGATTAAAAAAAATTAGAAATGAAAAAAGAAAATTTTCTCAAATTTGAAGGTGAAGGTGAAATAGAAAGACGAATTTGAAATTTAAAACAATAACTATTTTAAAAATTAATTTTTTTTTTATGTTTTACAAAAATCTTCGAAAGGACGACGGAAGTGATTGATAGAAAATCAAAGTGATTTTAGAAAAATCACTTAAGAATAATTGATTTTCCAAAGTCACCACTCAAATGATACCTTAAAAATCATGATTTTATGTTTTCATAAAATCAACTTTTTAATTTGCCAAACATAATCAATGAAAATGAAAGTGATTTTGTCATGCCAAAATCACTCTCAAACATACCCTGATTTTGACATTAAAAGTGATTCGAGTCATGCTAAAATCACTAGGTGCCTTAACCATTTGACCTATGCTCGGTTTGGCAGTCTTCCTCAACTAGTTAAGGCATTAATCCAAAAAAATTTGATTGTTCAATCTCTCATCCCCATTCTAAAAAATGTGATGAAATTAAAAATTTAAGGTAAAATTTGACTTACTTTACCAAGCTTTCAGGAAAATTTTGAATTTTCCCAAAGAATATATAGAACTTTATAAACTAAAACAAATAAATTTATTTTAATATATCTTGATATTCTTAAAAAAAAGGACAAATTTGAAATTTAAAACAATAAATATTTTAAAAACTAATTTCTTTTTTTTTCTTAAACAAAAATTCACTTGAAAATCACCTCGCAAGTGATTGACTTAGAATCAAAGTGGTTTTAGATTTTTCCAAAATCAATTTTTTAATTTGTAAAATATGATCAATAGAAAAGGGAATGATATTAACAAGGTCAAGAAGTGATTTTGACATGACAAAATTACTCCAAAAAAAAATAGAAGTCAATCGGTAGTCATATACCCTTTTTCTATTAATTGGTATGTGTCATAAGTATGATCATTCTATTTATTTATTTATTCCACAAGGGATCATTTAATTTACAATCTGTATGCATATAGCTCAAAATTAAAAACTGGAATTTACTAAGGGTTAGAAATAGCACGTTTGGCCAGATCAAAGAACGAGAAATATGAACAAAATTCAGCCTACGAAACACCTTCTCCAAAGTCACAACATCCTCAACTTCATTCAATGCTGTCGAGGAAGACTCCTCAATTAATGGAGGAATTTTGTCTTTTATGACACCAATATCCAAGATTGGAAAGGAAATGATTTCCTCCACAGTTTCCTTATTTTCTACCATGATAGGTAAGGAAGAAGCGGAATTTCTTCCCTTGAAATTGGAGATTGAAGCTAGTCCAATACCCCTAAAATCCTACGCAAAATCCACTACTTGTGGAAAAACTGCGACTACCACATCCGAAGACAGAACTACTACGACGGCTGATTCTAGCAAGTTTTCTTGCCTCCGATATATCTTTTCTTCCATTCTAATTTGTGTTGTCCTATTTATCCGATTATGATCCTGACCATTGATGTCATTCTGATAATGAAGCCACGGTTCGGGACGGTCGAAAACATCCTCACAATCTTTTATAATATGACCCACCTAGCCATATGACCCACCTAGCCATAATGGTAGTAGAAATTTTATAATCAGTCATAGTGCAGTGGTATCCAACAACCCCTCATTGGACATCGAGGTTAACTTTAGTTCTCTGCCATAGAGTTTTGTGGATATCAATTGAAAACACGGACTGTCAAACTGCCGCTACAAGAGATTCTATCTTGGAGGAAGTGTCAATTCTTTCCTCGTCTTCGAGAGAAGCAAGAAATGAGAAGGTATTTCTGGCCTTTAAAGTGAATATTGGGAGAGAAGAGAAGCTTACCTACTGGGAAAAGATCAAGACGTTTTCCAGTTCCAACAATAATGGCAATGTAGTAAGTTCATCTTTTCCGTTATATTTTTAATCTCCAATAACGAGTTTACTAATTTTAAGAGCTATATAAACTGAAGTTTCTAAAACTCGGTCTACTATTTGTACAAACACAAACCACGCCTCTCATCCTCAAGCTACACAAACTCATTCTTTTTAAACTCGGCTTTCAAGTGCTCCGAAGAAAAGCCTAGAGTGACTTAGATTCTTCCTTGAGGGGAAAAAGAAAGTAAGAGCATTAGGGTGTCATGCATAAAGTTGTCATTAGAGAGATTAAAGAATTAAAATTAAAGGGAAATAATAAAGAAAGGGTTAATTGAATTGAGACACATGATCAGAATTATTCAGAAGAGCACATAAACAAATTATAATTGTAAATGGGAAAAAGGAAAAAAGAAAAAATCCACAAGACAGACGTGACTCCCACTACCTAACAGCTGCCTATTTAATCATCTTTTTCTTCTTCTTCTTCTTCTTCTTCTTCTTATTCTAATTGATAACACATTGTGAGGCTTATATCACCTCTCTTTAATTAAAACTTCCTTTCACTTCTCACCTGTCTTTCCAACTACTTAGAAAAACAAAGGGAAAAAAAAATGAAACAACTTTCTCTCTCCTGAAACCACACCTTTGACTTCTCTCTGTGTCTAGGAGTTGCCGCCGGCAGTTTCTTTGTTCAACCCCAATTGGGTTTTCATTTTCAAATCTCTCTCTCTTGTGGGCGGCAAACTCGAAGGTTTTGTAAAGAATTATTGCTCCCTATTGAAGTTGGTCAAAGCTAAGAGAAAAAGGGAAGAAATTATATTATGATTATTGGTTGCCAGAAAGTTTTGGAATTAGGCTATGGAGATCATCAATATTATTATTTCACATGAACAACTTCAACAACACAATATATTTTCTTCTTCTTCTTCTTCAAAGTAATGGAATCAGAGAGGCACAACTCCAAATCCAGTAGGCTCCGCAAGTACTGGTTCACTGCAACAAGACACAAGACACCTCACCCATGTTGTCCCAACAATGAAATTTCAGGTTCCATTTTTTTTATTCAGTTATTTTCCATTTTTATTTACTGGGGTTGGTTAGTTTTTAATCTCTTTTTGTTGCAGATGGAGATGATTACGAAAGTGGAAACTTTCTGGAGAATGTCCTCTCTCGGTCTGTCGATATGGGTCCATGCAAATTAGCCAATGAATTAAGGTTCCAAAAGAACAAATCTTTTAGTTAGTTAATTAAGTAATTCCTCTGCCTCTTTTTCTGAATCAATTTTCATTTAATTGAATCAGAATCTTCGTGGGTACTTGGAATGTCGCCGGAAGATCGCCGATTGGAAGCTTGGCCGTCGATTTGGACGATTGGCTAAATCTCAAAGATGCTGCTGATTTATACGTCCTTGGGTATGTTATGCTCTTCAGATCCCAAAAAAGAAAAGACTTTCTTTTGTTTTGGCAATTTGGGTCTGAATTTTGGTGTGTTTGGAGGGCAGATTTCAAGAGATTGTACCGTTGAAAACAAGGACGGTGGTGGGAGCAGAAGATACAAGCAAAGCAACAAACTGGAATTTACTGATCGGAAAAATTCTGAACGACAAGTACGGATGCCCGTGGCTGACGCCGATGACGAACACGGCCACCGGCGGCGACGGTTACAAGGTGATCGGCGGCAGCAGATATGTGCTGCTGGCAAGCAAGAAAATGGTGGGAGTGTTCATCAGTGTTTGGATAAGGAGAGAATTGGTGAGAAAATATTACATTTCGAATGTGAAAGTTTGTTCGGTGGCGTGTGGAATAATGGGATATTTGGGGAACAAAGGGTCGGTTTCGGTGAGTATGTGGATTGAAGGGACGAGTTTTTGCTTCGTCGCCGCCCACTTGGCTTCCGGCGAGAAGAAGGGGGACGAGCGGCGGCGGAACCGCCAGGTGTCGGAGATATTCCGGCGGACTTTCTTCCCCAGAACGGCTAAAGACGATGCCCATCCACATCCACCACTCACCATCTTAGGACATGAGTAAGTTGAGTTTTTAATTTCTTTTGTCGTTGCTATTAAATGAGAAAGTGGCCAAAGTTACAGTGATTGTACACAGTCCTTGTACGTCAAAACCCATCTCAATTTTGAAGTAAAACAGATTAGGGATGTAAAATTACCAACCTAACTCGGTTAAATTATTTCTTACTCACTCCAAAATGAACAATACTTAGTTTACTAGTCAGTAAGCAAACCTACCCATTTTCTCTTAATTTTTTACTCTACCATGAATCCTCATCCAATAAACTAATATACTACTTCCAACTTTAGTTCATTTAGTTCCAACAAATTTTATCAAGTTTAGTTTAGTGTCGTGCGTTGAAATTGTGATAGGTCACCTTTAAAAGTTCGCGGAAACAAATGTTTTGAAAGTAGAAAAACTAAAATGAACCAAAGTTGAATATACAGGGATAATTACAAGACCAAAATAGTATTTCTAACCTTTCAAAAGTAGTTGAGATATATGGTATGGTTGGCTTGTATAGGGGCATGCATAGTGTGGAAAATTGACGTAAATTTGAAATGTGAAACAGTCAAATATATTGGTTTGGGGATTTGAACTATAGGCTGTATTTAGAGGACAATTTTGCGAGGCAGCTGATAAAGAAGCGAGACTGGGAAGCACTGCAGGGGTTTGATCAGCTAAGGAAAGAACAGGAAGAAGGTGGAGTATTTCAGGGCTGGAGAGAAGGGAACATAGAGTTCGCCCCAACTTACAAGTATTCTTCCTCTAATTGCAATCGCTATTCGGGTGGTCCTCTAAGAACAACAGGAGAGAAGCAAAGAACTCCAGCATGGTACTACTACTTAATTACTCTATCTCTCTTGAACCTTGATGAATTTAATACAATTCTATGTAACTCTTCTTGGCAGGTGTGATAGAATTCTGTGGTATGGAAAAGGAGTGAAGCAACTCTCCTATTTCAGAAGTGAGAGCAAGTTTTCTGATCACAGGCCAGTCTCTGCCCAATTCTTAGCACAGATCGAGCTCCTTAAATCTACTAATCCTAGAGTTATTGCACTCACTAAATTTCTTCCCTCCATACCGCCTCCCAAACAGAAGGTAAGTAAGTTCTCATTAGCAAACATTTCAATGCCTAGAACCGGAAGAAACAGAAATCTAGAAATAGAATCACTATCAAAACACACCAACCTTAATCGAGTCAAACTGATGCAGGTGAAGGGGGAAACTAATGAAGCAGCAAAATCTACCTTGGCAGCATTGATGGTGAAGGATAGGGAAGAATCATATAGAACAAACATATAGAACCATTACAGAGGTCAAAGAACGGCTGGGAAGCTTGGCTTTTAAGTTTTATGGCTGCAGGCTGGGTTTGTAGAGAGATGAAGTGACATGAACTATCCTGGTGTCTTTCTAGTTCACTTCAATTTCTAAAATTTTTTTCTACACTGTTCTTGGTTTTCATTGAACTTGTGAATATAAATGTAGGGAAAATAGACAAGAACAAAAAGTAGCTATGCAGAATATTGACATACTGAGAAATTAGCACTGTGTGAGTATCTAATATGTGTTTCCTCTGAAGGAAAAAACTTCCAAAACGTAGTTTGCCTGCTGATATTATTTAGCATGCTACTGCAAAATTTGCAACTACAATATGCACATACGGCATTTGAGTACCATATCTCAGATGCAACTGTCCACAACTCTGTTTGCTTCTTAGAAAAAAATTCAATTGCCCTCATCATTTACCTGAAGAGTATTGTCCAAGGCCTCCATATTGTCTTTCTTACATCGAGGGCAAAAACAACTTTTCCGCAATTCCTCGCTGAGATGTGCAAATGTCTCTTCAATTCCAGAAGACAGCTTATTGACGGTCAAAGATACACATTCAATTGACTCACCTTGATTAATAAATAAATACATTCAGAGTTCAATAACACAGTATATATTATCTCATCAATTGACTTCGACTCCAGAAACATTGCTTTTGATGATTTTGGAAAGCAAACTTAATCATATAAACCATTACATAAACAGCAAATCTTTTGTAATCTTGCTATCATTTCCCTTTCTGAAAATTTTTGGACACCAGATAGAGCATTAGCAAGCAGGAAGATTCCAGATTAAGTATTTCCAAAATCAATATTACTAAAGTAAACTTAGCACTAAGAATGTTGGTAGGTCACTTTTCAACTTATTAAAATAATCAGTTAAGTCAAAAGTGCAATATTTTATTTGAAAAGGATATCTAGTCATATCTTTCAAATCTTTTCTTCCTTTGTCCATCAACCCCATCGCAGCCAACTTTTTTCGTAGATTATACAACGATTCCCGAGCCTGCAAACTCAATCATTCCACATTATCATTTAAGAATATAGTTTCACTGAAAAAGAGGGACAAGATGAACTTAAATAAATGCAGGATATATGAGAACCTGTTGGAAGTTTCATTTCACCTATTGAAATAAAGATAGGGATCCTCCTAGATATTGATTAGCGACTTTGGTTTTCCTTTTATTGATTTTGATTGATTGCCATTTGTTAACAACAAAATTTACAGCTCAATACACAGGCAAGGAAAGAGAGTTTTTCAACAATGTTGACTATCATTTCAACAACAGCAAGTAGGAAGGCTTCTCGCTAATATTTTGAAGAACAAAATTTCACCTGATTTTGCGTATCCTGTCTTGATTGGTAATCTCTTTCTTCACTGCTTAGTTGAGTTATTACTTTGACAAGCATTTCCTCGGTAGATGGGGGGGAAGATTCTTCTGCAAGGAGTCCAAGCGATTCAATTTTGCACAAAAGAAGCCTATTATTTTACATACATGCGAGGAAGAATGCAATTTGAAGCAAAGAAAGAATATGAAAAAATTTGAAGCTCACATGTCATGTTTAGCGATTGGAACTGGAATGCAACACATGCAAAGAAGTTAAAATGATCATAATGCTGGCCAACTTACTTACCTGTATCATTTCCATCAGACTCTTTACCATCATTGCTGGCCAATTTATCTTGATATTCCCTGTATTTCATTAAGAGAAGGACAAATGAAGGTACCACTCCAAAATTAGTAACTGGGCACCCAACACATATTTAAGTTAATATGTAATCTTTACAGACGAGTTCATAAGTGAGTAAGAGAAGGAAAAAAAATGTGTCAATTGCTCAAAGCAATTTGTCATGCTATGGCTTCATTATATATATGCATTCATTCACAGTGCAAGTAGCTTTCATTAATATAGAATACGGACCTGATTTTTTTATTAAGATCTGACATGTGATTGAGAAACTCGTCTCTGCATAGCCAATAAGATCTCGTCACATTCACGGTAATCTAAGCCATTGAATAATACAGTTCACTAAATCCAAAATTTTCATACTATTCTAATAGAATGTAAATTGCAAAAGCGAGAGATGATTTTCAACCTTGTGGTTCCTTCATCCCACTTTCATGGTCCAACGGAAGTATTCCATATCCCGGAATGTTTGTTTAAGAGAATAAAGAGAATGTGAGAATAGAATTGTAAGACAGACGCAAATTTAATAAATTAAGAACTCTAATATCAAATCAGCACCTTAAGACCTGCTAACTCAGATCCAACAGATGCAATTTCACGTTGTAGCACAGAAATCCTTGCCTGGCATCGATAAACCAAATTTAAGAATCAAAAAGACCCCCAAATAGTGGTAATGCAATTGTAACAACTAACAACAAATGTAAGAAAAATATATAAACCTCTAGAGTTTGAATTGAAGTTTCATTCAGAGACAATTCGACTTCACAGCCTTTAATCTCCTGCTCTATGGTTTCTTTGGTACGCTTGACATTTTCGAGATCCGCATTGGCCGCTTCGAGCTCAGATCGTAGTTCTTCAATTTTCTTCTTCAAAACAACTCTTTGATCTACATTTATCAAATGAAAAATAAGATTCGTTCAGAAAACTAAGGCATTAAAAACGTTGCAGCCTTAGATTCATCAAATTTCATATGATATAAACGCCCTGACGCCCCAAAGTTCATATCAATATAAATTCTGCTACAATCGCCAATATTCAAGCGGACGATTACTTTTCCATAACTAGTCTGATCGAATACAGTAATAATTGCTAGCGTTTTAATTATTACATCTTCTATGGATTGAACGTTGTTCTTGCATAGAAATACCTCTCTATGAACATAAATTCTGCTACAATCGACAATTTTCAATCAGACCATTGTCTCTCCTTAACAAGTCTGATCGAATACAGTAATCATTCCTAGCATTTTGATTATAACTTTTTCTAGGGATTTTAGCATTTTTCTTGCATACAAATACTTCCTTATTATCAACATATATTCGGCAACAATCGCCAATAACCATTCAGACGATTACTTTTCCGAAACAAGTCTGATCGATTACTGTAACAAGTACAACAACCATCTCGATTCTAACATTTTCTAAGGATTCAACATTATTCTTGCATAGAACTACCTGTTTATGAACATAAATTCTGCTACAAACGACAAAATTCAATCAGACGATTACATTTCCGAAACGAGATTGATCGATTACAGTAAAATAAGTACAACACAATCTGGAATACAACATTTTCTAGGGATTTGGATTTAACATTGTTCTTGCATAGAAATACCTCCTTGCGATTTTTCGGCCATGTATTGATTAAGTAGGGTGTGAAAAAGCTTTTGCTTGTCCTTTGCCGCCATGAAGATTGAGCCCTTGACTTGCTCGCTACTCTTTTCCATTGTATAGCTACAGAACTTGAGAATATCGATACTAAAGAAACTAACAAACACAGAGAAAATGGAGAAACTAAATGGATCTTATATAAAGGGAGTGGAGAAAGCTGTATTGACCTGAAAACCAGTGTTCAGTTACAACGAAACAAAATCAATAACTAACCAACTAAAGAATAACAAATTTTATCTTCTAACTTCAAATTTGTTTGGAAAATTTGGATTTGTGACCCATTCTATAATTCGGATTTTTGACCCTCTTATAAAACAGTTTAATTTGTAACCATTTTTCGATGTGTGTTTGTAAAATTATCAAAATATCCCTGCTTTTTAAATAAAATTCTCCACCACCTCTTACATTAAACATCAATTAACAATTGAGAACCAACCATCGAATCTAAAAAAAATCCTAAATGTTCATACAAAAGAGAAAATAATAATAATAATAATAATAATAATAAAATGCATGTATGAATAAATGCCCAATATTATATAAAAAAAACTGGAATGGTGTGTATCCCGACTCGAGATAGCATTATCCTGGATGGAGATTGTGTTATCCCCAATCGGGATGCACGCAGTACCAGCTTTTTTTGCATTTATTATTCACCCTTTTTGTCAATTAAATCTTTGCAATATTGAACTGAGATTTATGGAATATTAAATTTTTTGTAATTAAATCTTGACATTTTATGCAATCTTGTGATGTAATTGTGTAAATCCGATTTTTCATATTAAATGATTAAATTATAAGCTTTTTTTATTCGTAATTGATTTTTCAAGTTTAAAAGTTATATTTTTCAGGTTTGTAATTGATTATTGTGAGAGATTGGTGGGGGATACAAATTGTCAATAAATTTGTTTTTTTTTAATAATGATGATATTTTGGTAATTTTACAAAGTCAACAAATGAAAATAGGTCAACAATTAGAAGAGATGAATTATGAATAAAATTGTTTTAAAATAGGTTAAAAGTCCAAATTGAATTAAGAAAATAGACAAAAATCTCAAATTCCCAATTTATTTCTTTCAAAAATGTAGACATGACCCAAATATAAAAAGAACAATAATAATAATATAAAACAATTAATTAAAAAAAGTAAGCGTCTTATTAATCGAGGAAAGAAAAAAAAAGGATAAAAATTGTAAAGTAATTATAATAAATATGGTGGACCCACGAAATAAGGAATGAAAATGAGATGGATAGAGAATGAGATTACACATATTTCAAGGAATGAGATTCCAAATTTTGATTCATTCCTACAATTTGTAAATACCATAAAAGAAATAAAAAAAAGCAAAATAGCAAACATATTTTGATTTTTCAAATATAGCAATTTTTTTCAAAACAAAAAAAACGGACCTAAACCCAAGTATAAGAAACCAAAAAATAAGCCCAAAATGCGAAAGCCCAGATAACCATACATTTCGATTTCCCTTTGATTTAAACTTTTCATCCACTGATATATAACTAATATACTACTGATATAACCATGATATATACTGATATAACTTATTATATGATTATATGATTTACCATATATTGATTTACCACGGATATATACTTGATATGTATCTGATTTACCACTGGTATATTCTAATATAACCATACTAACATGACTATATGATTTAGTACTATTGATTGATTTACCACTGATATAGCCTTGATATATGTCTAATATATATTTGAAATACATCTAATATACAATTGGTTTACTTTTGATATAACTATGATATCTATTGATATAACTTCTGATGTGATTATATGATTTATCATTGATTGATCTACTGATATAACTTTTGATATGAGATTTACCACTAATATATGTTTGATATGTACTTGATATACTTCCAATTTACTAGTGATATACTTCTGATATAATTATGATCTATGTGTATTGATATATATACTTCTGATATGATTATATGATGTTCCACAAAAAAATTTGTTTTTGAGATCGAAGTGTTGGTCAAAAAATGAACAACTGATGTGATTATATGTTGTTGGTATATATATAACATATGACTACATGTTGGAATTGTTGGTATATATGGTTATATGATTTACCATTTATTGGTTTATCACTGATATAGTCATGATATATGTCAGATTTAATATTGATGTACCTAAAATATTTCTTATATTTAGTATATTAGTGTGATATACTCAACTGATATACTTCCTATTAAGATAGAATAAAGAACATAAACACTTCACTAATTTAAAAAAGAATGAAGAACGAGATGAACAAAAAACTTATTAAATACGGTATGATTTTTTGGGAGTTCTAAAAAATTGAACCCTAGATTGTGAAGGAGAATCTTAACGATGAACAAAAAATCTATTATATACGGTACATGTTTGATATACGTTTGATATATGATATTCTGATATACTTGATGTGAATTTCTATGTAATATATGTCTGATATACGTCCGATTATATGATCTTTTGATATACATGGATATGTATGCGATATACTACTGATATGAGTGTTTGATATGTTTGAAATATAAATGTATGATATACATTTGATATACTACTAATATGAGTGTCTGATATACTTGCAATATGCATGTCTGGAAAGGGTAATTTGGGAATACTGAAATATTCAAAATCAAAAATCTAAAAAATTTGCTATATTTGAAAATGTAAAAAACGATTGCTATATTGTTAAATATATAACTAATTTGATACCCAATGCAATTTCCCTAAAAAAAATTCATTTTCATTCTTGATTTCCATTCACTCGAAGTAAACATGACCTTAATTACAGATTTTATTTGAAAATATAATTGTGCCGAAACTACCCTATTTTTCTAAATGTTTTCAAAATGTACCCTTTTTTGTAATTCATTTAAATATTATTATATATGTATATTAATTAAAAAATCCATAACTAGTACTAATTTTTTATTATTATTATTACTATTATTTTATATTTATGAGTGTCTGGACTAACTTACATGCACTTCGATTAATTTCACGTGATTACTAGTTTTTATTATTATTATTATTTTGTTAAATAGCAATACTAGTTTTTATTGAAATACAAAGATGAAATAAAATCCTAATTTACACGTTAACATTATAATTTAAGGGGCTTAAATTCAATATGACAAAGTCACTACAATATCATAGAAATGCTAAAAAATATTTAAAATATATATATATTAACACTGTTCATGATATGAAAAATAAAATAAATATAGAAATTCAAAAGAGATTTAAAAAAAGAAAATGGTAAATTGAATAAACCAGCAATTGTTGCAACCGCACCATTAAATTTTCAATTATACAAATTAAACCCTCGCACTTTTTGTAAACTTCAAGAGTTAAAATAAAACTCTTGCATGGGATAAGTCAGAAAATTGTAATTATTTAAAATCCCTGTTCTGTTTATGAGCACCTAATTTCCACCTGAAAAATGCTTCTCTTTCTTTACACGATTTTTGTCATCTGAAATAGTTTCTCCCCTCATTTCCCAACTATGTTTCCCCAGATCATACGTCCAAAAATTACACTGCCAATTTTCACTGACCGGAAAAATTGTGACTAATAATTGAATTAAATTAAACATCTCTTCTTAATCTTGACTCGATTGCTCTGCTCAGTATATTTCTCGAGGTTTTTTTTTCCAGTTTCTAAGCGTTTTCTTCCTCAAAACAGGGTTTTCTTTTTCATTTCTTCTCTTGCTCATTCTACCCAGACAGACTATGAGCATCTTCTTCACCCTCCATAATTTTTCTTTGGTTCTCTCTCTCTTCTCTCTTTAGCCACTGCAAGTTGGAAGGAAAACTGAACCACCAACAGTCGCCCAACTTTAATTTCCTCTTTATCGTCATGCCTGCTGCAGCGATGTTTTCGCTGATATTTGATCATATGTACTACGGATGAATAAACCACTAATGAATTGAGTAAATTTAATTTATTTATATAGACTCTCGACAATATGATACAATTAGTTCGTGGTTTGGTACTCCCACGCTGAAAGTTTTGGTGTTATGAACAATTTAGACTCCCAATTGATATTCAACGGGCAGAAGGCATCGGACCTGAATCGGTTCCTTCCGACGGTGAGGGATTTGCTGGACAGGCTGAGAGAAGCGGTAACGTCGGGGAATTCGAGCTGGAAGCACATTTAGCTTCAAAGGTTGAAGACACCCTCTGACGCTTCTCCGGCAATGGAATTTTCAAATAGATTTTTTTTTTTTTCAAAGTTTGATGGTTTAATTTTTAAAGTTAAGTTTAGAGGGGTAAATTTTATCTTTATTAGAGTTTAAGGGTTTAATTGTTACTATTGGAATTTAAGGGTCTACTTTTATCATTTAGGAAAGTTTGAGGGTTTAATTTTTCCAATTGAAAGTTTAGGGATACAATTGCAACAACTATCCTACTTTAGGGATGATTTATGCAATTTACCTTAACCTAATTCTCATCTAAATTTCTGCTTTCTTACTAAATATTTTGCCTAGCTAATTATCCGCCAATATATAATTGAAAACGATTAAACCATGAATTTTTAAGCTACGCCTAACTATACTATATATTATACCATCAACAATAATTTTGATAGTTCCACACTGTGCATTACAAGAGAGGTTACCTGCGTTGCCACAACCACAATATATTGCAAAGTGTCGTTATCAAGGTTTCAAATCCCGACGTCGATGAAAATTTCTAGGTCTCAATTTTATAAAAATTTTGATGAAAATATCAATAAAAATTTGATGTTAATGGATATTTCTGGAAAAAAATTATAAAAATAAAAAATTCATAACAAAAGATTCAAATTCACAAATAAACATACTAAAATAAGTTAAAAATTATTAGTATTGATTATATCCATTTGTTTTTATGTTGAAAAGGTAATTGTATTAAATTAAGCATCTTGGGCAATAATTGAAGGGAAATCTCCCTCCACACTATCCAAAAGCCATCGTGGGAAATTAGAAAACCAAAATGACGTGGCTCAAAACAAAACCCTCATTTTTGCCAAAAGGTGTGCAGGTTTGTTACAGAGCCGAGGGACATGGCCAAAAGAGATTGATTCGAAGGAACTAGCTAGTGATCGCACTTCCAACAACCAGTTCAATTCGTCACCGAGAGTAGGGGTTTCATCCTTAATCA